GAGCATAGGGTTCGAACCACAAACGTAGGATCAAGAGTATCTGTGCCCATTTTCACGGCACCTAATCCTTCGGAAAAGATTGGACCGTTGGCGGAAGTTGTGAAACGCGACGGAGTGGCTCGATACAAGGAGCTGTTGTTTCAAGACTACATGAATAACTTTTTCAGCCAACCACACGACGGCAAAAAATCTCTCGACTTCGCATGTGCCGAGTGAACAGTTGCCACGTACGTACTAAAATCAACCACAGCTACTCGCGAGCCTCTGTTTCTTTTCTATCCTTCCTTTGTTCTCTTTTTCTATCTTTAGTCCCACGTTACACGGAGTTGTTGTCTTGTTGTTTCCCTTTCTCTTGTTTTGTTTTGTTTTCTTTTTGATGTAACTTTTTTTTAACCCTTGTTCGATCCCCATGTTTTTATTTCGGTACAATAAAAAATGTCCTTCTACGTGTGCATTATGAAACATAATTGATCTTTTATCAAACTTTCATGCGTGTGTTGGGTTGAATGGTTTGGGGTCCTTTTACCAAAATTTCAAAGTTATTTAACTTTTTACCAAAAAAAAAAAAAAAATTCAAAGTCCCAGAGTCTGACCTACGTATTGATTTTTTTTACTGCAATGATTATAACTTTTTACCAATTCTCCAAGGACTTTTCCCCTCATTATTATTTCCATTTTTCATCTCGCTTTCAAGGCATACTATACTTACGATTTAGACTTATTATCGGCTTCTAGGTCGTTCTCGTTTTTCCGTTGACTATTTTTAAAAATGCAAAATATATGGGACAATTTTGAAGAAAGTCGATAATGACGTAAGCGGTATGGGATTATGGGACTTTCATGTTATGACGTGAATCGTGTTACTTCAAACATTGTGACGTTAGATGTTTACTGATTATTCAAACCTCGTGCTTTTTGCTTCCTTAATTCTTCTAATTAAATTTTTGCTTTTTTACTTTTGTATTAGAGTAAATTTCCACTTACACCCAATTAAAACTCGTTAACTCAGCCACTGATTCGAATAATTCCATGTAACTACCTAAACCACTTTGTTAAAAGTACTTAACGTATGTCTTACATTAATCTTATGGTCGATCACATCGTTTATTATGACAAAATTCATATTAATTATTGCAGTAATCCAAAAACGATAAATCTTATTGATCATTCTGCTGCAGCATCTATTCAAATATATTTTTTTCCACATGAAACAATTTAAGGTAATTATAACTTCTTATAATGCCTAAAAAAGGTTAAGAAATTAGAATAAGACGGAGAGGAAGATGTCCAACAAGAACAACTTGGGGTCAACCATTGATGACTCTGGTTGAATTATCCTTTGACTTGACCAGCCGCTACGAATTGACTCAACAAATTGAAACAAACTATTAATAGGGGATATATGTTATACTCATTCTCCGATTTTTTTATCTTTATTCTATCCTTACAGATGAATTTATAAAAAAAATTCACGTTATTAATTTTTGAGTGAAAAAATGAGTATCTGAAATACAAGATTCCCCTTTTTATAGCGTTTTCATGGATTCCCCTTTTTTCTTACTTCTATTTTACATCAAAATTAGATTAGTTAATAATAGTAGTACTAGTTTCTTTTGTTGAAAGGTAAATGCTTGTGGTGGAGGATGATTCCTTTACCAAAAGGTTATCTAAATATGTGGTAAAGATTTGGACAAAAAAAGTCAGGGATCAACATTAGCTTGAACAACACTTTCTCCTAGAGTGAGTTTTGACAATGAGGAGTATATATATATTAATGGGATACTCTTTAGTGCAGTGGAAATTGCGTTTTAATTATTAGTAGTTCCACTTCTTTTTACTAATTGATAGCATATTTGCAAAACTTTACTCACGCTCATCGGATCAAACTTTCGCCTCTCATGGTTTGCAAATATAGTTACAACAATCACCACTGCATACAATATAATAGGCTTTTTCGTATTTAAGAAGAAGACAAAAACTGTAGTGTACATATTATGGTAAAGCATGTTGTCATATATGTATCTTGGAATTTATGCGTATATCGGTATATGCGATTATTGATTGACACTGTACATGATCATCCAAACAATATATATCGAAGTTAATACAATTCTGGAAAGGAAAATTTGAATATCTATTTTTGCGATTATAAATAAATTTGACCAATTCAAACAACGTATAATTGTAATTTCAGAAAATCAGCCCACTCAAAGAATTTCAGAAATTTCGGGTTGTAAAATTTGTAGTGGGAAAATATCCAACAAAGTTTCATATGGTGGAAACTAACTCTTCCACATATGTTAAGAGTTTTTTTTTTTTTTTTTTTTTTTTTTTTTTTATAAACCTATCTGCTGAGCCGGTCATGTTAAGAGTTAAAAGTACTGTGACTAGATCTTTTTTTATCCAAAATTAATATCGAACTTAGAATATTTGTGAGCTGAAAGTCTGAAACTATCCCGTAACTGTAGTCGCAAGTACTGAAAACATGTGACAATAAACGACTTAATTACCTGTTTGAAGTGAGAAAGGAACTGACGGGTATTATTCGGTTTTTGAGTAGGTGGCTTTGTCATTTGTCAATTTCAGAGAAACTGCCAAATAAGTAACATTATTCATGTTTTTTTTTCTACTTTTTCTTTTGTTGATTTCCCCAAGTTAAAAAATTTCAAACGAAGCAAAACAAATCTAACCTTTACGAGCACAAAGTCGGAGTTAATTATGCGTTTAACGTCATGATGGTTGATAGATGTTTCGTGGTGAGCGCGGTATATGCGAAGAATAATGATGATGATACAAGAAGTTAATGTTTACTTAACCTTTTACCAAAAAAAAGAAAGAAAGAAGTTAATGTTTTGTAACGTTGAATCCTCGTCAGACACTTTGGAAGAGGAAAACACAAACATCTAAACTTGGTGTGAAAGGTCAGTCCTCTCCCTGGCGTTTTCTTGTGCGCTCTAATAATATGAATGGTAAAAGCGTCATACGTATTGCGTCTACGACTCCACGTATTGCGATGCGAAAAAAGACTGATTCTAAAATCTCAAGCCCGAAAGACTTTTACCGGGTCGGATCATTGATTACAAAGGATTTGTAAGTCAACAGACATGACTTGACCAAATCGGATAATTGATTGGATTATAAAGGATTAATAAGACACACACGACACAAACTCTCTTTATTATATAAAGAGCGCAAAAGGAGAAATAGTAAAACCAAATCCATCCATCTATGGAGAAGATGATGGGATTACGGGACAACATAAGAGTATCAGACGAAGATGAGAAGGAAGTGGTAAAGCTTCCAGGATTCAGGTTTCATCCCACGGACGAGGAGCTCGTAGGGTATTATCTTTCTAAGAAAGTACTCCTCAAGAAACCGAGCAAGATCGATGAAATTGTCAGCCAAATCGATATCTATAAATTCGATCCCTGGGATCTTCCAAGTAAGTTTTGTTTTACACCCTCTTGCTAATTTCTTTTGTTTTCTTGCACCAGTACTACTCCAGACCATGCAAATACATATCATTAATTAGGTCTTATACGCTTAGATCATTAGATCACTTGTATGCATGTTTGTGAACTAAAACGTAATGTTTGTTTGAAGGGTCGAGCAACATGGAGAAGGAAAACTACTTCTTTTGCAAGAGAGGAAGGAAATACAGAAACAGCATAAGGCCGAACCGGGTGACTGGTTCCGGTTTTTGGAAAGCCACGGGGATAGACAAACCTGTCTATTCCGATGGACCTAGTAAAACTGTGATCGGTCTTAAGAAGACACTCGTGTATTACCTAGGAAGCGCCGGGAAAGGAACCAAGACAGATTGGATGATGCACGAGTTTCGTCTCCCCACAGCCAATGACACAATCCCCGGTGGACCTACGCACTCTAACCCTACTCCAACTTCCTCACTACAAGCAGTAAGTTTGCATACTCGATCATATCATGCATATAAACTTGAACGTTCTAAATGGCAATCATATATATTACTACCTTTTTCGAATTTAAAGTTTTTGGAAGTGTGGTTGATTCTCACTAGTATATAAATTGCAGGAAGTGTGGACGTTATGCCGGATATTCAAGAGAAATGTGTCTAGTCATAAATACACTTCGGACTGGAGAGAATTAGCAAATGGCAAACGGGTGAAGCAGCAACAATCTAATTACAAAGAAGCATACATCAGTTTTGGTGACAATGAAAGTAGTAGTAGTACCAACGTGACCAAAGGGATCAGTTACGAGAGAAGTTTTTTCCAGCTTCACCAAACTCATCAACAACAGGACCAGCCAATTCCTATGGACACCACACAGGTTGATTCGCTTCATGATTTCTCCACCGATAATAACACTAATCACCATGAAACCTACGACGACTGGGACGAGCTTCGATCGGTTGTGGAATTTGCTTTCCCACCTTCTTCTTTTAGTTAGATGTTTAAACACACTAGTTAACTTACTCGCATATATTATGTTACTTGGACGTTTTGTATTATTATATCATAAATATGGATCTTTTGTCTGTATAATGAGTGCAACTGATTACATATTATTTGTATAATTCTCCTTTGTATTATGTCCTACAATATTAATTTGCATAGTTTAGTCTTGGTATCTCATTGTACATGTGATGCTGACAAAAAAAGTGTATAATGAAATTAATCAAATTATAAGGCTTATGATAAAAGTGGGAAACACTCGGATAGACCTTTTTTTTGAAAAACAAGCCCATATAATATTTGGGCTTATTAGATTATTAGAGCCCATAGGAAGTGTTACGGGAGTTTTAACACTCGGATCCTTCATTTGTTATGGCCTATGGGAATTAGTTAAAATAGCCTTACCTGAAAAGAGTGAAAGAATTTGGCTTTCTGTTTCTATTAAGCTTCTTTCTTGCCTTTTTGTTTCTTTTTCCTATAATTTTTGTTCTTGTTTTTGTAGCAATGACGCAGTTCAAGTGACAGATTTGAATTACAGTTTACAACCAATCATTTGGGTATGTTTAGTTTAGAAAAACATATTATCTCCTCCTTTATTTGCTTCTTTGTAGAACATTTGTTTGTTGCTTTTTACTTAACTTGTTAAGTGTTAACTTACGATGATGAGGAATCTTTCTATGTTATAGATGGTTTATATAATTTTCCAGGTCATATGCTGTGGACGAGCCTTCTTTTGGAGAAGATGAAGAAAACAGCTAATGAAAGCAATAGAGAAGGGAGAATTGTGTTACAATACTTTGCAAGCATATGGTCAATCAAAGCTCTGTAACATTTTCTTTTTGAACAATTATGAGCGTCTTTTGACAAATCTCTTCCCATGTTTCTTTCTTCAGGACTTTGCTCTGTAACCTCTGATACCGTTGTGTCTTGAACTCCATCTTTTGCCAGTTATTTGATATTTTGACTACTGATTTCTCAAGACAAATATCAATGCTCTCATGCCAACAACAACTCAGCCAATTCAGATCTTTCATTCTCCACATGTTTTATCAACTGTGACATACATGGTTATGTTGTCAGCCCCTTGCACATTAGAATATGAATTTGTGAAAAATCAGAAATAAAATGATATATTCTGATCACATGCACCCGAATCAAGAGCCACTTATCATTTTTATGACAATCTACGTTAATATCAAGTAAAGAGTGATGACTTATCAAATCATTCTCACATGAATAAACAGAATGAAAGAAAAAACTTAACCTGCAGGTTCGTTGAATCAATAGATGTCTCGTTAGGTCCTTATAAGTAATAATATCAATTTTGGTTCAGTCAAGTTAGAAGATTGTGGAACCTAGTTTGGTGTGTTTGGTCTCACTGCTATATTGGGCTTACTGGTATGGTGTTCCCCAACTCATTTCCTTTTACGACCCATTTACAATGTTGTTGTACTGTCTTTGGATTTCTTTGACCTCAAGATGTGTTCATTCTTTGTCTTGGATAATCTGTGTCTATAGACCAAAAACATATCAGCTTAACTAAAACATATCATCGCCTCCACATAGTGGAGATAAATAGTAGTGACATGTGACTGTTTTAGTGTCAAGAACTATGTGAGAATACATGTCACAAAGCTTATATCATTGCCTAACGAAGTTAGATCAGCACTAATATCCCACTCACTTGTTAAAAGCTAATTTTTCAAAAAAATGTGAACAAAGATACGATTGATTGGATTCTGCAGATGAAGAAACTGTGTCACAATCATCCAACTTAGGCATCTTGATTTTGTAGGGACTCAATCTTAATGGTCCATTGTTGTGGTGGATGGGGTCCATAATTGCTTTCTTGATTCAATTAAGTAATCGTGTTTCGTTGTTGTCTTGGCCTGCTGGACACTAAGGACACCATTCATCCATCACTTCACATCATTCATCTTCCTTACTGCAGTGCACCACACTACAATCATCAATACTATTATTACTTTGACAAACTCTTATTGTATCTTAAATTGCATATATCATAATCATAATCTATGTATAGTGATCCTCATTGTTCTCTTCTCATAAACAAATCAAATAATACTTCATTCAATGAGTTCTTAATTACTATCTTTTTTATTATAGAAGTGTCATCTTCGACATCAAGTCTGTCTTTTACTATTTCTTCTCCTTTAACAAAAAAGTAGCCGACGCACATCTTGTTTTTTCCCCACATATACCATATTCTCTATCTTGTGCATTGATTCTTCTTCATACCATCATTGCGTTGCTTTACTCTTGTTTTGAAATTTATATTGCTTTACACTTGTTTTTGAAACTCATATGTCATGATAATTGTTTGAATTGAAGAGTCCAATTATATCTATATCTATCGACATTGTATTATACTCTCCCACTTGCCCCCACTAAAGAACCATACACGATATTAATAGTTAGATTTTGTTTATTTTATTTATTTTAGTGGGTTGTTCCTAATGTGGACAATAACCAAACTATTTCCTCACCTTTTTTCATCCATACGAAAGTACAGTCTTTTACTTGTAAATGTTTCATGTCTTGTTTCTTTTATCCAATATATCAATGTCATGTCTCAACCATATATTGTTTTTTTTTTTTTTGTCTCTGATAGTAACATAAACTTCTAATTACATATCTTATCTAAACCACATGCTGTTTTGATATTTTGTACCATTTAGTGGATGAGAGGATGATGATATTTGCATTGGTACAAATTTAATCAGAATATAAAAGATTAGGTCACGTGGGCAATAGTGGTATAGGCTTACTCCTTTTACTTTAAAAACCCTTGATAGCCTCCTCTCACCTCTCTCTATCTTTGTGTTGTCCATTTAGATCTGTCACTATAATGTTTAAAATTGTTACTAGTATATGATGGATACAAGATCTGACCAACAAGATATATCAAGACATTTTTATATTGTGGCTTTAGCAAATTGATACAAATTATCATATGATCAAATAGACTTATACATATGTGATATGTCTCACACCATGAAACAGAGACTCATGATCAAGCTTATATAGTGCAGAACTGAGGATCATTTGCCTTTTTTTTTTTAAATTTTCTACGATTCGTCTCGTAGTTTTAAATGTAAATTACTTCCGAATTAAAATATTTCATGATATTTTTTTAGTTTACTCACACTTGGCCTATGTAAAACCCTAATATATAAGGTTAATTGTTTATACACACGGTCATCTTCTGATCCTTCAGTCCAAAAGTTTTCCTTCAATCCAATACTATTAGTAGCTATTGTTTTTGCGGAATGTAAAAGCAAAAGCCAATTAATGAAGACATTACTTCTATTTTATTTTTATTTTTTTTGTCATCAAAGATAGTACTTCTATTTTAAGACTGTGTTTTGGGTTTTGACTTTTAATTAAACATAATGATATTATATGCATACAACAATATATCACAAACATGACACAAATGCAACAATTTTCAACCGAAAGAAATAATCAACATTGTAATCACAATAAACTAAATTTATCGACTGCGTCAATGACTATGGTCTATGGACGACTTTGATAAAACCAAAAAAAAAAACCGAAAGTTGTGTTCAACTTTGGTATGAAAAGAAAAGTAGAATATTTAAGTAAAAGAGTTGTGAGAAAGAAGAAAAGATAAAGAAACAAGGCCATCAATGTCATCGTTGTTCCATGGTTGACATGGTACACCATTCTTTATCATGAATAAATGAGGTCTCAACTAAAATTGTTTTGAAAAACACACACACACACATATATATATATATATATATATATATATATATATCGATTACTTTTAATATAGCAATATGATAAGTAATGAAGTAGGGACGTTGATTTGTTAGAGGTTAGCTTATAGACTAAAGAACAAATAAAAACCGACCCACAAAACAAATCAATCAATTTCGAAATCATGATGACATTAGTAAATTTATTTTCGTCTAGTGCCGTCTTTCCCTTGGAAATTTCTTCTTTTCCCTAAGATAACAAAACAGTAACATACAAATCAAGTTGTGGAATATTATTACTAATCTTTATATAAAAGAGGAATCATATTCATTTCATCTTTATATACATGGGAAAGTATGTATATAAAAAGATGACTTAGATAGTTTCCAGTTCTTCAAAAAATGAATGAATAAAAAACTTGTCATCGTGACCCACTCGGAAAGGAAATCTAACAAATAATTATATATTAGTAAACTATTCCTGTTTACTATAATGTGCCACTGTATTGACTTTTCTGAAAGCTTATTCGAGGGTAAAAGGAAAGAAAAACAAAAGTCAGATTGTTCAATGAGATGGTGAAGATGACTAGACAACAACATAGGAAGGTGCATGAGGTTAATTAGCCATTTCATGACAATGCGTAGCCCACTTTCTTAGATTATCACATTAGAATTAGAATATACATATATACAAGTTAAACAATATATACATAGTGAGATGGTTAGTCGTCGGTTCCAAAACCACATCATATCCATCCAGTCGGTCAAATAATTAATATTTTTGCGGGGAATATTATTAAGAGCAAACAGCATGACACCTGGATGCTGCATACGTACGTTTACGTTATAATGATAAACTCGGCATTGTTTGACATGAAAATTGAAGATTAAACTATTACGACGACTCTACTACTATTTATAACTGAGGGTTTAAGCAAAGACGAAATATATATAACGTGTAATGAAAGATGGGTAGTTTTTTTTTGTTTGGATACTCATACTAGAATGGAGAGGGGAAAGTTGAGGAAAGTTCCAAAGTGTGGAATCAAAAAATTCACGTGTTGGGGAAATATATTTAATTATGCCAATATTGTTTTTTTAAGAAAAAAACCAAACGGTCCCCTCTCAGTGGGCCCATTAACGGGCCAAGTATTGTTTAAAAGAAGAAATGAAAATTGTGGGCCCGGCGGTGCGATGTGGATGTGCTCTTGTGTTTTTTGTTTATGTTTTTTTTTTCTTTTAAATGCCGATTTTGGCCTTTTCTGTCTTTTTTTTTTTTTTTTTTTGGTTGCTTGTGGGAGTCCACTTTATAGATTTGTTTCCCTAAGTTAAAATAAATTGGTTCTCTACCGACAATGTTCTTTTCTCATCCTTCCTTAGATTACTGGTGTGTAGTTGCGTAGGTGTCGCCATACATGATGATACATGAACTTAACTAATTAGAAGATATGTGATATTTTCTCATATATATCTTAACATGTGTTGTGTTGAGAGAGGCAAAGCTAATAATACAAGTCATTCATTATTAGTATTTTCATTTTCCTTGTGTTGTGTTGTGGTTGTCGATAATGGAAAAGTCTAAGCTGTGTACCGGTAGTACAGCTCCTGAGATTTTTAAAATAAAGAGAAGGAGATCAGAGGGAGTGTAATAGTTTTGACGTGACTTGATAATCACAAATGCAACGTTACGTCCGTATAAGTTAATAGGGGGGCACAAAACTACAACACAAAAGTAGCGTGAAGAGACCGCAATAATAATGTGATTGCTGGCTTATAGTATATGATCCAACCCCCTCCGGGACCATTCCACGATTACTTCACAGAGTCGTGCCTCTCAATTTATACATATGTAAGTATATACGACATCATCAATGATAAAGTGTTATTTTAGCGGTGAATTTCATACGATACTCTTTCTATTGAATGGAGTATAATTTTTTTGCAGATTTTTTAAATTAAAAAAAAACTCTTGTATCCAAAAAAGATGTAAACAAAAAGGACAAACATTTAAAATCATGATAACTAAAGTATCAAAAGAAAAAAAAAAAAAGGTGGCTTGAATGAGAACGTGAACCAACTGCATTTCACATGCTTCGAAAAAATATTAGATAGATGTATTAAAAAAACCGTACCCTCTCTGATTCCTCGAACCCTCCTCTCATCACCATAATACCATATAGCTAATGCGTGATTTAACCTTAAGTTATACTACTATTTCCAACGTATTCAACCCTTCAACTTCTTCTTAATCATCTATAAACCACTGGTTAAGTAATAATGATGGTGACGTGGTTGATTGCAACGAGACCATTATAAAAATACATGCAGCATTGACTTATTTAAACAACAAATATTGACATTCGAATATTATAGAACGAAGGCAAAGAAGAAGGGTATTTTTTAATTATCTAGTACTATATATTAGTAATAGTATTATTTTTTTTTTTTTTTTTGTCTACGAACCCCATACACTAGTTTATCGGAATTGATTCTCTTCGAGAGAGAGCCAAACGGGAACCGACAAACCTACATGGGAAAAACAGTACCCTCGAGCCCTTGCACATTTCGCAAGTTTATCGGCACTTAAATTTCTACTTCTAGAGATATGCCTAATGTTGAAGTCCAGGAAGGAATTTTGAAGATCCTTGAAGAGTCGAATTTCTGAGGCAAAAGCCGGCCAGACTTCTTCGCTTGCAAGCATTCTAGTCAAGTCCAAGCAATCCGTTGCAACGACGACGTGGGTCACCGATAGATTAACCAAACACCTCATTGT